ATTTTAAACTTAAGAGATCAGAGGATAAACTCCATACATTTATGAAATATTGACAGAGTTAAATCAATACTTGTGTTCACAATGAGCAATACATAGTCAGTTTCCTGTGTGACATTAAGCACCTCCTCTTCTCCAGAGCTTAATGCTTTTTCCTGAAAATTATAGGTCCTTGCATTAACTTACTTTTATGAAAGATGATTTGATCGATATTTAACATCTAAACTCTGGTTGCTATCTTCATCAATTAAGGTTTAGCAACTGGGAAGTATCTTTGCAGCATTCTAATTAACACTTTTAACTTCACCAGACAGCTGACAATTGTGACATGCATAATATGTGTTAAAACTGTATCAGCAACCACTTGGTGTGAAGACAAAATTTCTGTGGAATTTTAAGTTTCTTAACAGAGTTATATGTTGCTTAGGCTTTTTTCCTGGGAGCCAAAGCATAGAAATTGGATGTTATTCTAGAGTCCTGGAAATCTCTGGTGAGGAAAGAAAGGGGCCATATGTCCACTCAGGGAGCAAGGGTTGAAATAAGTCTCTTGACCAATCAACTCTCTTCTATCAACAGTTCTCATTTCTGTAAATAGGATTCTGAATTGTTGGGGAATCAAAATGGTACGGGATGTCTTTCCTTGCAAGTAAGTAAATATAATTTCATGAGCAAGGAGAATTTTCTGTACAGATAATTGGTGTCATCATATATTTCATAGTATGTGGAGTTTCACCAAGTTGTCAGTCATTGCCTCCTGACAAAAATACACAGTCTCTGGGTAATTTGCCGTCCTCTCCTTCAGGTCCAGATATAGTTTCTTGCTCAGGCTGTGGATCCTGATCTTTGGGACAAAACTCCTAATCCAATATCGTTCATGCCATACTGTACCTTCCAAACCTTTTACCATCTTGGCTACCATCTCCCCCATAAGCTGTACACTGAAGTCTCTGTCTCATTGGCTCTTGGCAGTTTATGTATCTTGCTTCTCAAATAGCACATGGATTTACCATCACAAGGCCTACATACAAAATAGTGATTTCCTTATTATTACACTCTCATCTTTTCTAATGTGTTTGCCTCTGGCGAGTTTTGAGCCACCATCTACATGCTCAGTTTCTTTCTGGACCTAATTCTCAAGTCTGTCTTTCTCCAATACTTCCTCAAGGCCATGCATACTGGCTTGAAGTCACTTGATCTGATAGTACTGAGTTGGCAAATAATATCATTTATCTTCTTTTTGTCCTGGTGTTGATGTCACAGAATTTATGTTTAGGGTCATATTGGGTATTGCTCATGGTATGCATACATTACACATGATTCTTCTGTGCTTTTAAACATTTTGTGAACCACTTAATCTCTTTAAAAATACTTATTTTTAATTCCAGTGGGGTTACATTTTTGTCTGTTGCTTTCAATTTAGAATTCTGGTTGAAAGAATCAGATTGCAAATGCCAATTCAGACTGAAAAACCAAAATTCAACTGAGTAAATTTGAAGTATGATTTTATGATTTCATTCAGCATTTCATGATATGGGCAGAATCCCATTCATAAAGTAGAAAGGGGCTCTGA